TACAATTCTCTACATTAATATTGATATATAGAACAATCATAGTAAAGAGTGTATATGTAAAGTGTAATTTTTTAGCACTTTGAATGAAAAACATCAAGATGGTAGCATAAATTAATTTGTAAAAAGATAACAATAACCTAAACACCTTACCTTTCATCCTGGTTATTTTTGCTACTCTGTTACGACTGATGATAGAAACACAGCAATGAAAAATGATAAGGGTTATGGTACAGCACCTGCACAATGAATGATAAGGCAATTCAGATGAGTACAATACATAACTCTGATAATTCGTATTCCTGTTCCCCTGAAAACACTACAGGAAGTTGTTAGAGCTTGATGCTGTGCCAGGAGATGGTCAATAAGTAGTCTTGGGTGATAAAGGAAGTAATTTGCTTTTGTTTGACTGAAAAGGTTGTTTGTGTAGGATCATCTACTGGTTATTCTTTCTTCTTCTTGTCTTTTGAGCAGCTCAAATATTTCTTAAGAGTCTCAGATCTCCTAAATGTGATTTTTGAGGTTTCATTCTATTGCTAGAAAGCATATTCAGAAATTAAATCATGTTTGAACAATAAAATTTACGAAAATTTTCAGTTGCTTTTCCTCTTAGACATCATCTTGCTATTCTTCCCATTTTCTTCTTTGTCAGTGTTTCTTTAAGGCCCACAATTAATTCTTTTTTTTTTTTTTTGTCTTTTGTCTTTTTTCTGTGTTCGGCAATGGATCGCAACCCTCAGTGTTGCCCCTGCACCGGACCAGGGACCGGCAACAGGACCGCAACCCTCGGCATTGCTCCCGCGCCTCGCTCAGCCAGTGAGCGGGAACCGGTCTGTATGTGGGATCCAAACCCTCGGGCGGGAGCGCTGCCGCGCTTCCCAAGCGGCGCACTTATCCAGTGCGCCACCGGGCCGGCCCCACAATTAATTCTTAAATTTCTTCTTTGAAGCTGTGAGCAAAACCATCCCTTAGTGTCTTGGCCTGACTACCTGTACAGTGCTTCTTACTTTTTGCCAAAGAGCAGGAAATCTTTCAAATCATTCTTCACACATTCTTTTCATTTTATTCCTTACATACTTTGAGTATTTAGAGCTTAACTGCATCCATGATTATCTAATAGGAGTGAAATATTCTTGGCAGTGTTGAAGGATCACAGATTAATATCAGGATCACTATCCACAGCTGTATGTGTTGGTGAGACTCAGTGTCATGCAGATGGTCTTGAAACAGTAAATAATCACATCTTACTTCACAGGTCGGTGGATGGAAGTGGTATGGGAGGCAGAAAACAACTCAGTATGGTTGTTTGCAAACTGGAGTGTTTCAGTGTCTAGAAATAAATGATCAGCATTTATTGATCGTAGTCCTTACTAACCTCTGGATTGAAATATCTGTAGAACTAATCCAGCAATAATGCTACCACCTCTCAAACCTCTCTCTCTCTCTCTCTCTCTCTCTCTCTCTCTGTGTGTGTGTGTGTGTGTGTGTGTAAAACAGGAGATTTTATTTATTGCCTTTCAGGTCACAGGGATTTGTAGCCTTTTAGGGATTGGCAAAATTTTTCTGTAAAGGACCAGATAATAAATATTTTAGGCTTTGTGGGCCATATGCACCTGTCAAATACTGTTTTTGTTTTTCTATTTTGTAACCTTATAAAAATGTAAAAGCCATTCTTAGCTCAAGGACCTTAGAAAAACAGGCCACAGGCTGTTGCTTGTTAGAAAGCAAGCCCAGCTTTCAGTGCCCAACTATACCACCATAAAACAGTATTGTTTTGCTCATAAAACAATACAGTCTTGAGACACTTGGAAGTCAGTGGCTCATCTGATGATGAAATCTAAAGTGTGGTGGGCATTTTTTCCCCCCCTAGAAAAACCCTGTTGCTTCAATGTCTTAAAAACCTGTTCCAAACATTAGGGGAAAATGACACTAGGAGAGGGGTATATGGGAACTCTGTAATACCTCTGCAGCTTTTGTGTAAATGTAAAATTATTGGAAAATAAAAACTTACTTTAAAAATCTTGTTTTAGAAGATAGCTTTTTTTTTTTTTCTTCTGGGATTTTAGTTTGCCAAGCTAGATTTTTGTTTCATTTTTATGAGTAAATGTAGCCTAACTACCAGTCTACACACTTTTGGCATTGGTATAAGCTTTTAAATTCTCCTTTGATGGTGTTGAATTCCTACTTATCAGAGCCTGTTCCTCTTTGGTAGGAAGTTTGAAAAGAGAAGTAAAACCAAAATTCTTTTCTTGTAACGTCAGTAGTACATAGCTAAAAGTCTTATCTTCCAGCCCTACATTTAATGCCATTTCAGTCTTTGCTGAGGTCTTAGGCAATTAGATTGCTACTCTAGCATTTGTTAGCATATATGATGCTACCGTTTGGATATTTGTCTTTTTAGAATTTAGTTTGAGATAATCTCAAAAGGTAGGTTGCATACATCATACCCCTTTACCCCTTAATACTTCACTGTGTATATTCAGAACAAGGATATCTTATATAGGGTTATCAAATTCAGAAAAATTTAAGTCATGATACTTTTATGTAATCTACAGTATATTTTTTAATTTTGTCAATTGTCCCAGTAGTGTTCTTTATAGCATTTTTCCCCCAATATTCAATCCAGTTCAGCATCAGGTTTTACATTTAATTATCATGTGTTTAGTTTTCTTTAAATTGCAATAGTTCCTTAGTCTTTGTCTTTCTTGATGTTAATATTTTTTAAGAAAATGCATCAGTTATTTTGTAGTATGTGACTTTTGATTCTTGATGGAGCCAATGACTATATAGATTTCGTGTTTTTGTGATCATATTTTGGCACCACATTTATATGAAGTATCCAGAATAGGTAAATCCATAAAGACAGAAAGCAGATTGGTGGTTGCCAGGTGCTGGGGGAAGGGGGAGTAGGGAGTAACTACCTAATGGGTATGGTGTTTCCTTCTGGGGTGATGAAAATATTTTGGAACTAGATGGAGGTGGAGGCTATACATTAAGAATTTTTTAAATACTTCTGAATTGTTCACTTTTATTTATTTATTTATTTATTTTATTTATTTTTTTTTTAAAGATGACCGGTAAGGGGATCTCAACCCTTGGCTTGGTGTTGTCAGCACCAAGCTCAGCCAGTGAGCAAACCAGCCATCCCTATATAGGATCCGAACCCGTGGCCTTGGTGTTATCAGCACCACACTCTACCGAGTGAGCCACAGGCCGGTCTCACTTTTACTTATATTTATTTTCATAAGATGGTTAATTTTATGTGAATTTCACTCAATAAAAATTATTTTTAAAAAATTTCTTATGTAAATGGTTTTGCTATCTCCACCCCCTCCCGCCCCCCATATACAGACTATAGATTTCTCAGGAAGTAGAAATTCCACTAAAAAAAACTTACTGCATGATAATAGCAATGATATGTAAAAGTTAAAGAAATAAGTGGGCATTGCAAGTTCTGATTTTTGTTGGGAGAATTGATAAGCAGAAGAATCTATTATCACTAAATATTTAAGGCTTAATGTATATAGTTTTCCATTGTGAAAATTTTCATATGTTTGTGATGGATGCAAAAGGACAGCGGTTACTTCATATGTGTTCTAGCCAATTTACATGATTTTCTAAACATTAAATAGCAGGTTTTCTAAGACAAAATTCTAGGACATTAAATTTAAACATTGAATATAGTACATTAAAATTCTAGGTCTAGCTTGAGAATTTGGATAGGTTCTCTTCCTCTGAATGTGTATGTTACAGTCTTTCCTATTAAGATGACCCTTGAACAATCAAGTTAGGGACACTGATCTTCTAGAAGTTGACTGCGTATAACTTTTGACTTCCCAAAAACTACTGATGACTGGAAGCCTTACCGATAACATAAACAGTCCAGCTGCAGACCTCAATCTACAGTACATACAAAGCAGTTAAGCTCTCTTATCATTTCTCAGCTTCTTGGGAGCACTTTTAGCCTCACTAGTGGCACTTCGTATGGGTCCCATGGTGTTGTTCAAGGTTTACAGTATTGCACTAAACACGATGAGAAGTACATGAGAATTGCTAGAGGACACTTTTCACTGCAATACCCAATCTACTGGAGAGAAGAACACTCACACAAATGATTGGTGTCACACTGGATGCTTGCAGTACTTGAACTCACTGCAACAGCAACAGGAAGTGGCTATGAAATTACTACAGTAGTACGGTTTGTATTACAGTTAATTTTGTACAGTTATTATTTAATGTGCATATTTATCTTTTTCTCTACTGCGAATGATGCCATATACTGTATGGTCTGTGTGTGTAAGTTTTGATAAATTTTAATTTTTTATAATTTGTGTACATTTTATGTTAGTTAATGATAAAATAGACTAGTAGTGACCTGTATTTTATACATTCATGACATACCTTTTTCTTAATTTTTTCCATATTTCTAGGCTACGCAGTTCATCTGTGTTTTCAAATTGTTGCATATCTTCAAAACATTTTCCAATATGTTTATTGAAAAAAATCTGCGTGTAAATGGACCCATGCAGTTCAAACACATGTTCTTCAAGGGTCAAATGTATTTACTTTTCCACCTTAAAGCTAAACTCCCATATTTATTAAATGGAATTCACTTGGCTTTTTACTAGATGTGACCTTCGTTCTTAACCTCTCAATTTGTTTCTCTCACAAGTGGGAGATTCATGCCTAGCCACACTTGTGTGGATTAGAAAGAGGTTAAAAGATTAGCACAATCTGGCATGTAGTGGGTGTAGCAGTGATTATTATCCAAGAAGTGAAGAATGTTATCAGGAAAAGTAAGTCTTCACCTTCACTTAATTGCCTCCTTTACAACGGTTGCAGCCTGTGGAAACAGAAATGTGTTTTGAAAAAGAATTTTCACATGTGGAAAGATAAGCTTTCTAAAACTGCTTTTGAAAACTGATACCTGATATACATGCAGTTCTATGATATGTTTCTCATCAGCAGTTTATTTGCTTCATTTTTCCCAGGTGAAAGGAAAGATGTTATCCAGGTTAAGAGCAGTTGCCAGGCCTGGCACTTCGGCATGTCGTCATTTGCACATAAAAGAAAAAGGCAAGCCACTTATGTTGAATCCAAGAACAAACAAGGTTAGTAACAATACCAACGCATGCAACGCATGTTTCCTCTCTTCCTGGTAATGATTTGGTGTCTTTTAGACCGATAAGGTATGATATTTTTGTATTTTGTAGCTTTATACTGGCTGTTCAGAGGTATTTGCTTTCTCTGTGTGAACATGTCTCTCTTCTTCACTTGGCAAGAATCGTGGCTGCTTTATACCTCCTAAATTTCACCCTTCACAACTTCTACTGCCAGGAAAGGATTGACTTTGCATCCTAGTTCTAGCTCAAAAATTTTTTTTTCCCAAAATGGCTCTGACTAGCACTTTGGGCCAGATGTGGAATATTTAGGTTTACCCAGCTCGAATCAGGTACTTACCCTGGACCAATCATTTAGGCCCTTGGAGGGTGGAGTCAGAATTGTAAAATGAACCTTTATCTTAAAGTCTACCTCACTCCACCTCCACCCAGCTTTTTGAACACACGTAATTTTTCCCATGATTAGACTACTGCTTCAAAGGAGAGATACTCTTTTTATTATCACTCTTGGGACAGGAGTGATGGGCAGTATTGAGAACCAGTCATGACTTCATCCTTTATCTTAGCTGGGTTCAGTGGTCAAGTCCCTCTCTATTTTTTAATGGCAATATTAAATATTAAGTAAACACAATTCTGGAACGAGATTTTTTTTTCAGGAAACTTGCAAGAGAGGATACATTGAGTTTATTGCAATCTATGAAATTTACATTTTTGAGAAAGGTACATTCAGATTAAAGGTATGACTTACTTTAAAAAGAACAGCCATCAAAATTTGGCCAACCCCATTTGTTTCTTGTTATCAGGGGAAATAATTAAGTGTATAATATGATACATTTTGAGGGGTTTCAGACCTGCAAAGAGAAATTTGACAAGGGTCACACAGAACACCTCATCTTGCATTATTGCTACCTGGCACAGAATGAGAATTCTGCATGCAATAAATGAAGCTTAATGAAGGATATTCTAATCTCTTGTTTTTGCCTCACCTCCCGAAATCCTGCTTGCTCTTCAAGATGCAACTTATTTGAAATGGAGTTCTCCCATAGAGACTTCATACCACCATAGACTGGAGTAATTGCTCCCTGCTCTGAAACCCCACAGCATTTTTTATCTTCTTAGTCCTGTGGCTAGTAATCAATATCTGTTGCTCTGTGCTTCTTTTCATGTTTTAAGCTGCTGTTGAAATCATTGATAATATTCACGTTTTCATGAGTTTATATGTTCTTGACTATATTTCAGGTTCCTTTTGGGCAGGGACCATTCACATATTTCTTTGTATCTTTTACAGTGCCATGGGTATAGTAAACATTTGATAAATACATTGGTTTTACTTTTTATCCTTATGGAAATAATTTATTTAAAATATAATCTAGGGACTTAGGGGTTATAAGAAATTTATAAAGCATTTTAATTGGCAACCAATTTCAAAAAGGATAGTCTAAAGGCATTACAGTACTTCTGTAGAGAAAATAAAATCTAATCTTTTGTCCTTATGAAATCTCTCAGGTTGGATAGCATTAAACTATCCAACTGGACTATGTCATTAAAGGACCACTTGTGGAAATCCCTTAAGCATCAGGAAGAGTTGGTTGGTATTGTTTAAGAAAGAACATAGACGGTAAAGTGGGTTTCTTGTAGAAAGAAAGGAAGAAAAAAAAAAGAACAAACGTAGACCAATGTTTTCCAATTCACAGGTTATGGACACCTTTGGGACTTAGCATGTTAAGAAATCAAGTTTGTGCTTCAAACATTGTAAACTGAATTATTAATTTTTCACGTATTTATTAATATTGTTTTTAAGACTATGTTGCTGCTGTGGTTAATAAAATAGTAATTAAAGGCAGTACTAAATTCTGAATCTTTTAAAATATATGTCTCTAACTACTGTCTGCTAAAGGTATACCTGTTAGGGTTATAAAACTTTTTAATATGGTAAAATAAACAATGTAAATTTTATAATCTTAACCGTTTTTAAAGTGTACAGTTCAGTGACAATTACATTCATTGTTGTGCAACCATGGCCACTTTCAAGTTCCAGAATGTTTCATTATCTCAAATGGAAACCTAGTACCCATTAAGCAGTCGTTCCTCATTTCCCCTCCACCCCCACCCACCTCAACCACTAATATGCTTTCTGTCTCCGTGGATTTGCCTGTTCTGGTGTGGATATGAAATTACGAAAATTTTAAATGTTTTTTATGCTTTAAAGAGTTGGACATCATGCAAGGTATAAGCAGGAGTTTAGGTGCTAATTTTAGCTCTGCCATTTACTAGCCATGAAACTTTAGCAAACCATTTAACGTCTCTAGGCCTCAGTTTTCTTATGTAAATAACATAGATAATAGCATTTTGAAACATTAAAAGGGCTGTGCAAGTATAAGATTGGATCTCTTGTTTTCTCTCCATGCTCATTTGGCTAACTTTTCTAATCATTTTCTGAAATTCAGCTCTGCATTCTTTCCTATAGGAAGTTTTTACCGACCCTTCTTCCCACTTCCCACCCTGGGTGAGTTACTCCCCTGTTTGTTCTTTCAGCATTCTTGTGCTGACCTCTGTTGTTACTACTTTTCATTCTGTACTGGAATTATCTAACTTCTCTGTTGAGGACAAGGACCCTGTCTTATTCTATATCTTCAACATCTTAACAGAGTACATGGATGGATGGATGAACAGATAGACAAAGTTTGAAGTGATTGGTGCTGCAGGTTTGGGCAGATAATTAAACACGAATTTTGTTTCCAGAGAAGTTAGGATGCAGTAGGAGTTTTATCATCTACTCTTGCAAAGTAAGAAGATAGGAAATAACCCTATTAACCTCTCTTCTCTCAGTGTGCTGACTTACATGTATATCCCAAAATTAAGGCTGTGGAGGCAGAAATAATTTTATAAAGGTTTATTGAGAACTAAATGTGAGCGTCAGCCCAGGAAACTCAAACCTGCAAAGTTGGGAAGTGCTTCAAAGTCTATTTATATGCTGAAAGATTTCATGGGAAAGTTTGGAAAAGGGAGGGGGACTCCCCATACTGGAGTTGTCCTGTTTTCACTGGTGGGTGAAATGCAAAAGTTAACAACCATTGGTTACAGATTACAGCACATAAGCAAAAAATGTCTACGTGCAGGATAATGCTTTGGCTAATCTTAAAGATAACTGGTAGTTTACTCGTAGTTAGCAAGCTATACCTTAATTATTACATCAACAATTTAAAGAACTTACACGAATTCTTGAAGAACAGGATATCTCACCCATATCATGAAGTTGACCTTCAAGGCAATAGATATTTTTTGATAACTGCTTGTGTAGCTGAGTCAGCTACATGTTGTGTTTCCTTATGAGTTTTGTGTGTTTTCCTTGAGCCCATTTCATCTTACAAAGTCTTAGAAAATTAAGTTATACACTTTTTTAAAAAGTAAGAATATTTAAATTTTATTAACATTTTTTCAGTTGATGAGCATATTTTATTTCAGATTTATGTATTGTGTTATAGGATCTAACTCCTTTACCAAAGCAATATAAGCCAATTAGAACATCTGATTGGAATAATTGTGGATTTCTGATGAACACATCTTACCACTTAATTACAATCTGACCTTTTTAGTGCTATTTCATCTCTCATAATACACTTTCAGAAATCCAAACAAGCATTTGAATTTTCTGGATTACCTTATACTAGTGAGTCATTGGCTACATAGTGCCTATCCATATTGAGGTTAAGGGAATGCATATTTTATTTTATTTATTTATTTTTTCTTTTTTGTCTTTTTCCGTGTCCGGCAACGGATTGCAACCCTCAGTGTCGCCCCCGTACCGGACCGGGACCGGCAACGGGATCGCAACCCTCGGTGTTGCTCCCGCGCCTCGCTCAGCCAGTGAGCGGGAACCGGTCTGTATGTGGGATCCGAACCCTCGGCGGGAGCGCCGCCACGCTTCCCAAGCGGCGCACTATAGCAGTGCGCCACCGGGCCGGCCCGGGAATGCATATTTTATAAACGGATTCTATCTTATGAAATGCTTGCCTTCTATCTCCCATTTCTTATCACAAACCCAAATCAGTATTAAAATGTCTGAAATGTTGTTATAGTCTCAGATTATTTCTATTGCTATCAGGATAAGTCTGGTATTAGCTTGTACAAGGCTTAAAGATTTAGATAAAATGTGCTTTAAAGTATAAAATGAGCTGTCCAGTTAGCTCAGTTGTTTAAAGCACGGTGTTGATAACACCAAGGGTTCAATCCCTGTACTGGCTGTTACTGGACTAGTTAAGCCAGGTCCTTGGGACTCAGAGTCATAGAAATAAACACTGAACCCAACATACAGTGGAACAAGCAACATTTATTGAGAGAAAGCTCATGTGCGAGGGTGCCAACACAAAAAGGAACTGTTGCTTCCATGTGTTCAGCGGGAGAGGAAGGCAAAGGAGCGGGGTAAGGGGTTTGGGAAAGAGGGTGAGGTCTCCAGTCTCAAGATTGAGGTCTTCATCAGTTGGGCACAAGGTGTTCTATCATCAGTCTCAGCAGGTGGGGGCTGATGGTTATCCTCTTCTGCCGAGTCCTCGTTGTTCCCTTGAGGCCTGTACAAGAATCCTCATAGAAGGGTGTTAAGAAACCTTGGGTACAGATATTTTTACAGGAAGGGATATACCGGTGTCTTTAGGGCTTATGTTTAACTGCTGGCCTCCCTGGAGTTTCCTGGAACAGGACTTGGTCTGTTGCCCCTGGGGTCTCTGATGCGTTTCCAACACATAGACTACTGCTGGGTTCTTGGTGTGGTCAACAAAATGGAGTCTCTCCTGTCAGCCCTGTCCTTACTCCTGCCAGCCACCAAAAAGGAAGGAAAAGAAAAAATATACACACACACACACACACACATGTACATATACATATATATGTGTATATGTATATACATATATAATGAGTATCAATAAGTAAATACTTTGCTGAATCATAGAGAGATGAGAAAGTTTATAATAAATGAATTAGATATTCACTTTTAGTTGCAGATTTAAGGCTTTTAGAGTTAGTTATATTTTGCACCTTAATAATGCTTCCATAGGAATGAGTTCTCAAACAGGAAACCTTGGGAGTATTCAGGCTGATGTTTATTATGATTGCAGGTATAAAACTGTTAAGCAGTTGTTTGATTACAACATGAGCCAACTCTGAACTATGTGCATAGCCTCCCACCCCCAACTTTTTTCACTTTCATTCCATTCTTCCTACTCTGTCTTGGCTGCCATAGCAAGAGAGAAGCCAACATTTTTATTGATTAAGTGATTTGAGTGTCAGAGGTATAGGAGCCCTTCTAAAATAAAAAAAACTAAACTTAAAATTAAAAATGTACCCTATTGATATCAGCCAGTAATTCTCAAATCCCTCCTGCCATCTAAATTTTTATTTTCCCAGTTCCTCCCATAATATTAGTGAACATCTCTCTTAAACCAAATATTTTGTTCAAGACGTAAGATTGTGAAGAGATTCTACTATAGATTCTGATTTATTTCAGTCAAATTTGAATATCCTAAGGGACTCCATTTAAAATAATGAACCATGGATTGCTAGAACTAAAAGGGCTGAATAAATAGTAAGTAGCTGTGTAAATCATTAACTTAATTGGAGAAGGAGTGTTGAAGAAGAGAATTAACAGTCCCTTTACTTTGTGGATTAGGAAATTTCAACCCTAATATTTAAGGACTTGCTCAAGCTTTGTGTCTGGAACTCTGGTTTTTTGGTTCATAGTTCTTTGAGGATTTTTATTTATTGTTTTTGTTTTAATTTCCCCAGGCTAGTTCTCTAATAGGTAAATTAATTCAAAATTTTATCTGATTCTTATTATTTACACAAATAATATTATGACTAATAAAAGAAAAAAAGTTACATTCCTGTATGAATACCCCCATATATTATCTATTTTTATTTTGCCATTATCCTCTTAAAAGTATACTTTTAAGATTGTAGTATATAATTTTATAGGCCATTTTACCACTGGGAAAAATATATTATAAATATGAGGGGTTTTCAAAAAGTTCATGGAAAGATTTGTATTATCTTTTAATTCTGTTTTTCCAGGAACTTTTTAAAGTACTCTTGTATATCTCTATAGTGCTCATAACTTTAATGATATGTGGCTGCATAATAGTTTAGCAGGTAGATATGGAATCACAAAGACTGATGAGAGCTCTGATAACCACTGCCTCAGGCTGCTGCCATGCTAAATAATTGCCTCTGATTGTTTTCAACAAGCTCCTCTGGGGGAAAGGATTGAGTGCACCCGAAGTAAGGTCAAATAAAGACAGCCTTGCAAGTGGGGTCTTCCAGGGAACCACAGACAGGTCAAATGATGATATTTCCCTGGGAATGGAGTTTTAGAAAAATCTCCAACCTCTTCTGCCTGCTCCAGTGGCTTCCAGGCTGGTGATTTCTAGTGATTCAGAGTGGTTGGTTTCCAAGGCTACCATGGAGCTGGAAAGGGGAGAATAGGATTAGGGCAAGTTAAAATGCCATGGAGCTTGCTGCTTACTGAAATGCAGCTGTTTTTCTAGAATAAGTGCTCCCTGATTGCTGCAAGCCTTTGGTTAATTTCCAGAATTCCAAATAGGTTAATTCTGATGATTTGGCCAGTGTTCTTGCTTTTATGGGAGAAAAAATTTTCAGAAGTCCTTACTCCAGCATTTTCACTGACATCGCTTTGGTGCAAAAAATTTAACCCACAACTGAATACCAGAAATTGAAGATTTCCTTGTGACATAAATTAATTTTAAGTATTATTTTTTCTTTCCCCATTTCTTCACCCAGCCTCACTCCTTTCAGAGTGGGGTAGCCTCTGTTATGAGTTAGTTTATGTTCTTTCAGACTGTATTCTGTTGATTTCATTAATGTATATATGAATCTGTGTATAACATGTTTGTTTTATGTAGGTTTCCTAAACAAATGGGTTAGCAGTGAATCTGCTTTGATTTGCAGCTTGCTTCCCACCCCCCCGCCTTTACTGTGTGTCTTGGAGATCTTTCTAAAACATACTTAGAGATATATGTTTAACTATTTCTTTGGTATTTAATAGTATGGATAACCGTAGGATCCTTAACTGTTTCATAATTGGTGGACTTGTAGTTAGTTGGTAACTGTTACACTTCTTGCTGTGTAACAGAGATGAAAAAAAGATTACTCAAAGCAACATGAATGCAATGAGAAGCCTGAAGGGACTGCACCTCAGTAGCTCCTCTGTTAGAAGGAGAAACTGGGTACAGCCCCAATTCAAAGTTAGCTTTTGTTTTTATAGTAAAGACAAGGAAGTTTCACAAGAAAAATCAGTTGATTCAATCATTTCAAAAGAACACAAAGACATGGGCAACATGACAAGTTTTCTATGGCTAAGTATAGCTTAAACAATAGAAACTAGTAACATCATTTAAATTAACAATGCAACATTCCAAAGTACAGTTTGTGAAAAGCTAAATCGATCAAACTGTGATCATTATCTAATCTAAAATATAACCTCTCTTTAAATGACTTAAGCAAGAGTTACATTCTTAGATAAAATCTAAGTATAATTGTCTCTACAGTTTCCACCAACAAGCAGCTCAACCTTAGCAAACATTTTTTCACATTTTTCCCTACAGCAATTTTTTCAACATCTTTTAATGACAATCAGTGTGATAAATAATCAGAGTACATAATCCCATCCCTAAACAGTGGGTGGTTAGGGTTGATTAGATGGGCCATTGCCTGCTAGCTGTAAGCTTTTGCTTCCTAGCCAAGGACTTTTGTCCCATACATGCATTACCTAAAAACCCAATCTAAAAATCAACTAAGAATCAACATATACTTGATTAGGATTGATTAGATGGGCTTTTGCCCCACTAGCTGTGGGCTCTTGCCCCCTAGCTAAGGACTTTTGTTTCAGTAATTTTTTAGCTAAAGAGCCCTGTCTAAAAATCAAACAAGAATCAAGATTTTTAACCCTCTACAGGTAACAACCAAGAGAACCAGAAATAATGCTGTAAATAATCTCTTTGTATATGCCTCTTTATTCCATATACGAATAATTCTCTAAGATAGCTATCTAAAAACCAAATTGCTTGATTGAAAAATGTATGCATTAAAAAATATTTAAGAATATTTTAAAATTGTCTCCCCAAATCCTAAACTAGTTTACATTCCCAGCAATGGTATGGGACTCTCTTCCCACACCCTCACTAATATTGGACGTTATCAATCTTATAAAATTTTGAAAGTCTGGGCAAACATGGTATCTCATTGATTTTTAAAATTTGCATTTAAATTATGTTTTGGAAGACAGTGCAATTACTACCTCAGTAAGTAATAATTTTTAATTATTTTATTTCTCCTCTTTAGGGAATGGCATTTACATTACAAGAACGACAAATGCTTGGGCTTCAAGGACTTCTACCTCCCAAAATAGAGACACAAGATATTCAAGCCTTACGATTCCATAGAAACTTGAAAAAACTGAATAGCCCTTTGGAAAAGTAAGTTGACTCGATGTTTAGCTTTTTATTGATTATCTGATTAGAAAAATTGGGAATATTATTGTTATTGAGGCATGAGAAATATACAGTTTCATAAATGAAGATTGTGTTTTTGTCAGTTACCTTTTTTTAATAATGATGTGTTTCCTTCACTTCAGTGAACACTTCACTTGTATTCACTATTGTAAAATTTAGGAGAAATCAGAATTTATGCTTAAAATCAGAGCATTTCAGGTTTGAATGAAACATTAGAAGCAAAGGATACCATCTAATTCGCACCCATCTAATTCAGCAATTTTTTTTGATCACCTACTTTGTGTGTGAAACTATACTAGGCACTGAGGATATAAAGTGGGTAATAGATAGGGTGACCATATACTATATCATCTAATCCACAACACTTTGGGGAGTGAAAAAGAGGTATAACTGTCCGTGGCAAACTAGGATGTATGGTCAACTGAGTAATGCATAGCCCTTCCTTCTAGGAGCTCATCAACAGGTAGTTACACTGTGACTGTCACTGTGCTCTATACTACAGTGTGAAATTCAGTGAGTAAAAGGTACATGCAGTGTATGTTCTGAAAGCATGAAAAAGGCACCTAGCCCAGCTTGGAGAATCAGATATAGCTTCCTGGAGGAAGTGATGCCTTAGCTGAATTTTAAATAGTATATTGTAGGTAGCTGGCAAGGTGAAAAAGGACAAGGTATTCTGGGTAGAGGGATCAGTCCAAATACAGGACTAATTATATCTGTTGGGTTTGTTAAGTATAGGAGTTTATTGGTCACTGGTGAGGGTGGTTTTTTGATGTGATGGGGCAAAAGGGAGACTGCAATAGATTGAAAATGAATGGGAAGGGAGGAAATGTAAACTACTCTCTCAAGAAGTCAGGTAAGAGGGCGAAGAAAGACATTGAACAGTAGGTAAAGCAGGACTTGGTTTAAGTATGTTTCAGGCTGGGAGAAAGTTGAATATGTTCACAGTGGTGAGGAATGAGCCCAGGAAAAAGATTGGTAGAGCAAGGTTTCAGAGAAAGGAAAAAGGCATAGGGTCAAGTGCAGAGGTAGAGAGGCCGGCGTTGAACAAGAGCGAAGAATAGCTCACTCTCTGAGGCAGGAGCAAAGAAGGTAAATGCAGGGATCAGTAAGGATTAGTATGTAGGTGATAGAGCTGGGGCTGTGAGAGCTTCTTACACCTGATGCTCTTGATTTTTCTTTATGACTTAGAATATGAAGTTTGTGGTAAGATTTAGAAGGGCCAAAGCTGAATAGAGCTGGTGAGGAGAGCAATGTTTGGAAGAGCCATTTAGCTATGAGGTAAAGCTGAACAAGGACAAGTTAAAGGGATGAGAGCAGGCCCTGAAGACCTAGTGGCATGATCTTGTGTGTACTGGCGCCATTTTGCACAATAAAATGTTATTTTTCCGCAGAAAGAGTGAAATGTAACATTGATTCAGGTTTGGAGTTTGCTGGGCTGGCAAAGGTGCTACATGACATTAATTCATTTAGCTAGTACTCATTCATGGCTGCTATGTGCCAGGCATTGTTTTATGCTCTGGAGCTACAAAAATGAAAAAAACTCAGCCCTTCCTTTAATGGAGTTCACTGTCTGGTGGAAAATGCAGGCACTAGGGAAGGGTAGTGTAGTGATAAAGATATGCAGGGTTCCTAAATGGTAACCATGGCAAGAGATTTGCTCCGAGTGAGAGATTTGATCATGGGATCTGGAGTAGGGAACAAAGAGGAGCCAGAAAGAGCTAACCGAATGGCATAGGACAAGTGATTGAGGAGCTAGAGAAGGCTTGAAAAATGATAGAGTGAGAGCACTGTATGTATAAGGACATTCCGCATTTCTGAGCTGCAGCGATTCTAAGTGAGGACAGCAACATCACTGTGAGTCATATAGAAGAGTGACTAAGGTGAAATGAAGGTGCAAGTGACAGCCTTAAGGAGGTCCAGGAATTGAAAACATCCCCGTGTCACATGCCTGATAGATTGTCGGTGGTTTCCTTAACATCCTGCTGTCTTTCACAGTCCTTCTGTTCCATCTTAACAGCCCCAGGGTTTCTTTACTTTCCTATGCTGAGAAGAAATCTGCTTCTCTTTAATTTCTACCTGTTGATACCATTTCTGCCCCTCAGGAGCTATATAGAAATATAATTCCTCTTCTAAGTGGATCACTCATTTATTCACCAAATATTTGCATATCAGTTGTATGCCGCGTACTAAGCTAGTTCCTAGAAATACGAGTATAGAAGTATATGAGGTGATATTCCCTAACTCGTGGTATTGTCTAGGCTGGAGGGAAGCCGTAAAGACAAAAAGTGGAGTGAGAGTGGCAGAAGAGGGAGCAGGGGGGTATCATGGGACCTGAAAACAGGAAAGTCTAGCATGTGCATGGGTATGTGGTGGGAGAGGGGAGTGGGCAGAAAAGGACCCTCAGAGACCATGCTGCCTGAGCTGCATTTGGTTGGATAGCGTGAGTATAGGACTGTGCCTGGAGAGGGTATTACAGGCAAAGGGTGTATCATATGTAGCAACTCCAAGGTCAGGGTCGTGGTGTATTTGAGGCACTGAAGTCAGTCAGTATGGAGGAGATGAGCCTAGAAAGTAGGCAGAGGTCTTGTTAACTGTTTTAGGATCTTGAGTCTTATTTAACTGGCGTTTGGAAGCCTTTTAAGGAGAGTAGAAATGATCACAGTTATTTTTTTAAGAGAAGAATGGATTGGAGCAGGGGAGGAAAATTGTGTGTATAAAGAAGGCTCTTGAGGGTAATCCAGGTGAGAAATGACAGTGGCTTGGACAGGGTGAGGGTGGAGGGAGGAAATGGATATACTTGAAAGATACTTAGCAGGTGGACTCTACAGGACTTGGTGACTTATTAGATTGGGGTAGGGGGAAGTAGGAGAGGAAGAAATCAAGAACAGGCTCTGGGTTTCTCATTTGGTCAGATGATAGCTGGAAAAGAAACAAGTTTGGGGGAAAGATACTGAGTCTGTTTTAGGCATTTCTTTTTGGATGATTACTGGTTTTCAAGCCAGTATTTCCCTGTTTGTTAAACATTATTTTTTAAGAGAAGTTATTTACGTATATATTTACATGAATTGACTGTTGCCTCCTCTGTGCTCCATGTAGACCTTATAACGCTTATAACCCTACTGGATTATGAACTCCTTGAGGGCAGGGGTCACTTCTACATCCCTGCAGTTCAGAATAGTGCCCGGCATATAGGGTTTACTAAGCATTTGAGTGAATGCCACTTTATTTTGCTTCCTTGTTTACATGCCACTCATCTTGAAGATTAGTCCCTTAGGATGGAGGGCGTCGTGGTGATCTTTGCATTTCAATGCCTTGTGCAGAGCCTAACTCACAGTAAGGGGTCAGTAAACTTTAGCTGTTGTTTCTGTTGTTTTCTTCATCATCATCATCTACCATTTAAGTACACTTATATGAGTATTTTTGTATTTTTAGTCCTGAGTGTTAAATAGTGAAAATTTAAGGTTTTGTTTTCTGTTGGAGCGTGGAGGTGGGGGGAGCTCGATTTTAGACATTTAGGTTTAACTTCCAAGAACCAAAGCTTCTAATGTAATGCAAACTGACTTAAACATTATCTACTGTGCTTAATTTCAGATACATCTATACAATGGGAATACAAGAAAGGAATGAGAAATTGTTTTATAGAGTACTGCAAGATGATATCAAAAGTCTGATGCCAATTGTATATACACCAACAGTTGGTCTTGCCTGCTCCCAGTATGGACACATCTTTAGAAGACCTAAGTAGGGCTTATTTTAAAAAATATATATATATAATGACTATTGTGTAAGAAAAATATCATTCCCTAAAATCTATTACATTTATATTTTATGTGTTGCAGTCTTATCCCAACTACATTTCCGACCTCTCAAATGTTTGATTTGTATTAGAAAGAAAGAATGAAAACCCAACAAGTCCATATCTTTTTTCATAGAAATAGCATCTAGAAAAAAAATTATTGTTTTGTATTTCTATTTAGTTTAATAAATTTAAAGGTTAGGATAATGCTATTTCTACAAAATTATTTATTTATTTGACAGCTGGCCAGTACAGGGATCTGAACCCTTGACCTTGGTATTATCAATACCAGGCTCTAACCAACTGAACTACCTGGCCATCCCTATTTCTACAAAATTTCTAACCTTCTTTAAGTAATTATTGTGATTGTTAGAGGCATTATATGCTTTTTGTACAAAAAAGTCAATTCTGGTGACAGATTCTCCAGAATTATCATTTAAAGTTTTTGGCAATCCGCCAAAGAAGGCAATCGGTTCTTTCTCATTTTTTGTCAGCTTTAATTTCTGTTGTTTGTTCTTTTTTATGAACATCCACGAATTTTAATATCAAACAGTTCTGGCACCTCCAAACATTTTAAGTGCAGAGTACTGGAATGAGTCGTCTCAAGGCCTTGAATGAGTCCCATAATCCCTCTGAATGTATTTCCTCAAGTGTAAAATAGGGATGGCAGTACCTACTCAAAGAGCTATTGAGAACAGACCGATGTGATTTTAAGTGCAGAGTACTGGAATGAGTCGTCTCAAGGCCTTGAATGAGTCCCATAATCCCTCTGAATGTATTTTCTCAAGTGTAAAATAGGGATGGCAGTACCTACTCAAAGAGCTATTGAGAACAGACCGATGTGATGGTTCTTTGTGAGCTTGTAAGCATTACATAAATGCTGTTTTTCCTTAATTTGAGTTTTTGTCTTGTTCTGTTTTTTGGTGGCTGGTATGGGAATCCAAAACCTTGACCCTAATGTTACAAGGCCTCCCTCTAACCAACTGAGCCAACAGGACAGCCCTCCTCTAACCTTTTAATTTTCCTCAGTCCTTACATTTTTCCCGTGCTTAGCTAATACAAATGTATAAATTCAAACAAAGTATGATAGCATTTATCTTCAATCTTCCCGCATCTAGTCTAGTGGCTCCCAAACTTTAATGTGCATAAGAAACACCTGTAGGATTTACTAAAAATGTTGATCTTTGCCAACTTTCCTCTCCTTCCCATTCCCAAGATTCTGATGAAACAGAGAAAACTCTGGAGGTCTGCGTTTTAGTGAACACCCTCAGTGATTGTGTCGCTGGTATTCCCTGGAAGACATTGAGAAACAAACACTTTGTTCCGACTTCTTTGCTGCCATCAATTAATGTATCTAAAACATTTCTATGTATAACTTAGCTTTTCAGATCTCTTATAGTTTCTTATTAGAATAGTGGTTCTCAACCAGATTAAAGGATAGAGGAAAACTAAAAATACTTTTGCCTGGGTCCCACCCCCAGAGATTCTTTTTCAGTTCGTCTAGACTTGGGCACAGGTGTGGGTGTTTCATCAAAGCTCCCAGTGTCATTCTGATGTGCATCTGGAGTAGATAACTGGCATGAGACATAAAGAGCATGGCTTTTGAGTTAGGGCAGATACTATATATCATTTATGCAGTGTACTGTGCAGTGGGTTTTTGTTTGTTTTGTTTTTTGCATAGAAGATGACCAGTGAATCTTGGTTGGTTGATTGATCTAAACTCTAACCCAATTAAATCTCTGGGGGTAGGACCCTGGCATTTTAAAAAGCTCATCAGATGATTCTGTTGTATAGCCATGGTTGAGAAACTGCTGAACTAGACTGATTTGAGCTACAATAGTAATGCTGAAGTTAAGATACCCATGAGAAAGTTAAATGTAAGAATAAGTTTGAAGGCAGTGGGGACCATCTCTGCCTAACCTGTTTTCTAGAACCTTTGTTTCTTTTTTCTCTATTTTTTCCTTCCCTCCTTCCCTTGCTTCCTTTCTTTTTTAAAATCTGGATTAATGATCTCAATTAGATAACAGTATACTGTGTTTAAAATAACTTTAACTTCACTCTTTCCTAATGCTTCAAGTGTGTCATCTTTTACGTGGATTTAGTCTTCCCTCCCTTCCTGCTCCTTCTAATTTCAAATTTTGAGCTTCAGTGAGTTTTAACAAGTAGTTTAGTTGGCCTTATTATGCTGTCCTGCATTGGTGGTGTATATTTATATTGTTTTTTTACTGGCGGTGTACTGAGTTTATTTGAACATGAGATGTGGATAGACTTTTTCTTGGGTGAAAGGATTACATCATTTGGTGCAGCTACTGTGTGAACACTGTAATTACAGTTTGAAGTAGTTGAAAATGTTTGAAAATAAACCAGTGTGACTTAGTTAAATCTGCTTGGAAATTATACTGTTTTGATGTTTTATTAAAATATCTATATATTCCAATTATGAACAAAGTCTTGGAAACAAACGAAAAACTTTTGTGAAATGCAAAGGTGTTTTTGTTCTGTTGCAGGGGATTATTTATTTCAATCTCAGACAGAGGTCATGTTAAATCAATTGTGGATAACTGGCCAGAAAATCATGTTAAGGTACTATTAGCACGACCCTCCTTCTCACAATGTTTTCTCTTTCCTTATAAGTTACCTCTAAATTTCCAACAACAGTTTTTCATTGTCCCTCTGATTTATTTTGCACGTTTACACATACAGATACAGTGTTTTGTGTCTGAAGTGGTGATAAGAGTAATAGTTATAAAATGGGTAACTGGTATAGAGTTTGACTCTGAAAAAGAAATTGGAGTTAGTACACAAGGCCAGCCCTCTCAATGCCAGTGCCACTAGTGTCCCCTGCCTTCACTTTCCTTTTCTAGTTTACTAATATTATTCTAAGTAGAGGCAATATATTAAAATGTCATAAGAACTTTCATTTTGGAGGGTATTGGAGAGGACTTGTTATGCCTCTTTTCTTTTAAATCTGGGATAGATTTAGATCCTTAGCAAATATAAAACTCTTGAGAGTTTTAAATTTAGAAAATATAAACCTTGGTCAATATGACTACCTTTCATAAAATAAAATGTAATAACTTATTTCAAGATCTTTTGGTAGGCTTTTGTGTTTATTACAGCCAGTAATTTTATTTGCCTTATTATTACATATGTTTTCCTTACCAAAATAAATATTGATAAATAATCATTAGTTTGAATAATCTCGAAAAAATTTGGTCAGATAATTAAACTCACATTATCAGCTTAAAACCTCATAGGTGGGTATTTTTTTTGGTTCTAGATCTTTTTCTCTTTTGCTGTTGCTAAGGTGTTTTTTTTTTGTTTGTTTGTTTGTTCTACATTATTGTATTGGAGTACCATGCTGTTTTTTAAGCTTATTTTTCTCTTGTGGTCATCTCTCCATCAGAAATGTGTTCACCTGTCCCATATGTAGTCTTTCTGAAGATAGTCAAGTTGGTCCTCCAGTCAGAAGCATTCTGTTTCTAAAACAAAAGTCAGAGATAAATCAAATCGGGCTGGCCTGGTGGCGCACTGCTATAGTGCGCCGCTTGGGAAGCGCGGTGGCGCTCCCGCCGAGGGTTCGGATCCCACATACAGACCGGCCGCTCACTGGCTGAGCGAGGTGCAGGGGCAGCGCCGAGGGTTGCGATCCCGTTGCCGGTCCCGGTCCGGTATGGGCGCGACACTGAGGGTTGCGATCCGTTGCCGGCCACGAAAAAAGACAAAAAGGAAAAAAAAAAAAAGATAAATCAAATCCAGTTAATTTTCTCTTTTTTGTGGTGGGAAGGGGCAGCTGGCTGGAATGGGGATCTGAATCCTTCACCTTTGTGTTATCAACACCACACTCTAACCAACTGAGCTAATTTCTCTTTTTAATATCTTGTAATAGGCAGAAATCCTAGAATTTTAAGTGAGCTTGGTTGGTTTACCTTGAAAGTTAGACAAGAATCAATTTTATTTTTTAAAGTGACAGTAAATATCTATGAAGAGAATCTTTTTAAAAATGCCTTTCTTTAGTGCCCCATTTTTGGCAACTCTTAATTTGCATTTTGTTGTTATTGTTGTTATGAAGGCTGTTGTGGTGACTGATGGAGAGAGAATTCTGGGTCTTGGAGATCTGGGTGTCTACGGAATGGGAATTCCAGTAGGAAAACTTTGTTTATATACAGCTTGTGCAGGAATACGGCCTGATAGATGCCTGCCTGTGTGTATTGACGTGGGAACTGATAATCCAGTGAGTAATAACCTATTCTTCCTTTGATCTTCCAACTGTATTTTTAAAAATTTTGTTGTATTTCTCTTTTGAAGGTGATAATTTAAGAAGGGAAAATTTTGTGATTAGATATTAGTCTTTTTTTAAGTTCCACTTTTAATATTTATACAAATAATAGTAGATTAAGCCTATTAAGTTTCTTGAAGAAGAGCAATATGGTTAAAAGATTATGTTAGTAATTTCTTATTTTGCAATTTCTGTTTTATGTGTTTAATCTGGTTATGTGATAAAAATGATTTTATTTTTGCATTTGGTTTCTTTTATAGGAACTCTTAAAAGATCCGTTTTACATGGGCTTGTATCAGAAACGAGATCGTTCACAACGTTATGATGACCTGATTGATGAGTTTATGAAAGCTATTACTGACAGGTATTAAAAAAAGTTTGAGTAGCTTTTATGAAAAAAAGCTGACAGGTATGAAAAAAAGTTTGAGTGCTTTTATGAAAGCACCCTAATTAGGGAGGGTAGCAGGAAAAGAACCACAGTTCTGCTTTGTTTTCCTTTATCTCTTGTGAGATAAAATTTTTGAGAACTTTGGTTCTTTCCTGTCTGAGTAGATGTGCTGCATCGCTTTGCTTGAGTCACCTGACATGTGGAGGGAAGTCTGCACTCAGAGCTCAGTCCTTCTTTTAGCCCGTGACATCAGGCTCACTCCCACTATTCCACTGAAGCTCTCCTGCAGCTTCTGTGTTTTAAATTCTTGGACCATTAGGTCCTTCTCCCTCCCCACCTCTTTGTAACAGCTGGCCAGGTTTTCCCACGCTTTTGTCCTTGAAACTCTCTTCTCTTGACTGCAACAAGACTTCTTTGTTACTTGGTCTTCCTCCCACCTTTCTCTTTCTTTTGTCATTTTCAGTGGTTCTTCTTGCTCTCTTTTATTATTGTGGATGACTATGTAATCCTTCTCTCTTTGAGTCATGTAAACTGTGGCCTATATGCAAGTGCCTCCTAAACACATGAAAACCCATCTCTTTAGTTCCACTGCTCTTTCGAGGCCTACATTTCTAATAACTGGAGTTCTCCAGCTGGATATTCTTCTTGCTACTTCATATTCATGTCCCAAACTGACTCTTCCCAAATGGACTGTCCCCTGTATTCCAGCCTCTATTATTGGCAGTAACATTCACCCTATCGCCATACCTTTGATCTTCGTGTTATCTTTGACTCTTCCTCCTTCTCCATTGATACCCGCCCCCCCATATAGTCAGGTGTTTCTCAAATCCAGTTGGTACTGTTGCTTAAATGCCTCAGAAACCTATCTCTGCTTTTGACGGCCACAGTCTTGCTCTCTCTTTATTTCTCTTCTGGATTTTTGTAATCCTTCTTCCAGTTTCTCTCTCCAGTTCATCTCCACCTTAACACCAGATTAATTTATTTTAATGTGCACTTCTTCATGCATTCTTTTACTTGAAATCTCTCAGGGGTTTTCTGTTGCCATAGGTAAAGTCCAAAGTCCTTATCTTTATCATCTAACCCTAGCTTACCGTTTAAATTACTGGCACATAGAAGATATTCAAAAATTAATTCCTTTTCAGAGTCAAAGTCGACATATCTCAAGCTGAACTTTTCATCTTTGCAGAAATTGCCGTCTCCCCGTCTTCCTCTCACTTCCCTACCTTGGACGACCAAATAGTGTCTTCTAGCCATCCAGGTTGCCTTGGCATTTTAACGACTTCTCCAGTTGATCCTCATCATGTGTTTCTCTTTGTTTATTCTAATGTCTCATACTTGTCCCTTTCCCTTCCTGTACCTTCTGCTTCAGATCTTTTGTCCCCATGTCATACTAGTCTCCTAGCTGCTTCTCCTGCCTTTCTCATCTCTCCCCATGTCAGTGTGTGCTGCACATCACTGGCAGGTTTATCCTTCCTAACGGGAGTCTAACATGAATTCTTTTCTCTGCAGCCTTCGATAATTCTACATGGGATGCAGAAGAAATTTCTATTCTTTAATTTGGCACTCAAGATTCTCCTTTATTTGGCCCCAACTTACTTTAACCAACTTCTCCTTTATCCTTTAATATAAACCCTGAAATATATAGCCAGACTAGTGAAAATTCAGGGTCACCAGAATACACCTTGCTTTTCTTTCCACCTCTTTATTTTTTGTTCTTTCAGGGTCCAAATAAAATCCCACCTCCTTTTCAGTCCTTCCCGTACTACCCCAACTCACCTAGATGGTTGATATCTTCTTTTTCTCAGTGTCAGTGAATTCTTATAGCAATTATTTTTAATAACTTATTTAATGTATACTTACCTATATTGCTGTATAACTGTTAATGTAATGAAAATATTCATATCAAATATACACTTTTTGAGACTCAAAAACAAAGTTTCTCCCTTTTTAGGAAGTTGTTTACTGCGTTTATATGTGCCTTGCACCCTCCGAGGTACTTGGAAATAGTTTACACAGATTGATATCCCATAAGCCCATTATGGTGCCACATTCTTTTGAAGCAGCCCATAAATTTTTTTGGAATGAATAGTAGATTTCTACTTTTTGGATGTAGTCTTTCACAGGCTCTGAAAATTTTCAGGTGGCCTAAATTGAACTAACAATACATTATTTTCAAATGCTGTCATCAGGAATATTAGGAAAGCTGTTTAATAGTGGTATTTTCAATACAACTATTATGGGTTTCCTGTTTTTAGATATGGCCGGGACACACTTATTCAGTTTGAAGACTTTGGAAATCATAATGCATTCAGGTTCTTGAGAAAATATCGAGAAAAATATTGTACCTTCAATGATGATATTCAAGGTAAAGCAAAAAAAAAAAAAACAAAAAACTTTTTTTGATTCCTACTTTTTAAACATTTTTAATGTGCCCATTTTTTATCTTTAAAAATTTTTGTTTTCCTTATAGGGACAGCTGCAGTAGCTCTAGCAGGTCTTCTTGCAGCACAAAAAGTTATTAGTAAACCCATCTCAGAACACAAAATCTTATTTCTTGGAGCAGGAGAGGTATGTTTTTGTAAGCTTTTTAGAATTTAAAACCAGCACTCTTTTAGAATTGGAAAGTGGGACAGAATGTTGATGTTTATAAAAGAACATAGTGAGCTTGTAATTTTCTTGAGAACAGAGGGTATGAATTCGAGACCTATGTTGAGAATAGGTGATTTAAAATATGTTTAGAAAGAATATTTCAAAGAATCAACTTTTGTTTGATTTGTAAGGGAAGAATAAACCAAGTATTCCTCATAACACATGATCTTCATATACAAAGTAATTCAAGCATTGTGTCATACTCTAGTCTTTATTTTTTTAATTTATGTTTTATTGGACAGGCTGCTCTTGGAATTGCAAATCTTATAGTTATGTCTATGGTAGAAAATGGCCTTTCAGAAGAAGAGGCGCAAAAGAAAATCTGGATGTTTGACAAGTATGGTTTATTAGTTAAGGTAAGATATTTAAAACTTGGAGAAGCAAAAGAGCATTGTTGTTATGATATTTTTAGTTGGACTTTAAAAATATTATCATTTCTTGACATCTTGTATTTTACTGGACTATCCATATGATACCAGTTGGGGACCTTTTCACTATATTCTCAACAGAGATCCTCACTGTCTTTTATAAAGACTTGCTTCCTATTTAAATCATAATCTCTATTTTGGCACCAGACTTACTCTTTCTTGCTTTTTCTCTTGTTCCTAAGAAATCAAATAGCCTTTGTACAAGTATGATTGTATTAGACCCTTCTAAAACTAGGTTTCTAATGAGAACTCAAATTCCTAATTACATTATTAACAGTACATCTGATATTTGAGCAGAAATTCATTAACCCTTTGTAGATCATAATCCCCTATTGCAATCTAATAAAAATCTATGCAGTCTTTCCCCAGAAAGAAAGCATGTACTCCTGAAACTAATTCATGAATAATAAAGAACTTCTTGCCCAGATTAACTTAGTACCCTTTCACCCTTCCTGCCTTTCTTTAGCATTGACTATCATTTTTATTAGCTTAAGAGTATATTTTATACTGTATAACACATTGAGATATAGGTAAACTGTTTTATAGTTGAGCCCATCAGTATATAATGCTGTTGTATTTTCATATATACACATTATGGTATAATGGTATAGCAGTTACTTGCCATTTACATCTATGGAGTAAGCTATCACAATGTACTTTGCTCCCATTCTGAAATCTTTTCTTCTTAATTAGTACCAGTATTCTAGTAGTGCAGAAAATAAAAAGGAAAACTGAAGTGTGTGAGCGAAAAACTTGAGTGCTTAAATTACATGTAATTTAAAATAAAATAATAGTAATTTAAAATGTACCAGACATTGTGATAAGACTATATAGGTGTTATTTCCTTTAATCCTCTCAAAACTCCTGTGAAGTTTTACAGATGAGGAAACTGAGGTTTATAAAGGAGTGTTGGAGGTATGATTCAAACCAAGTAGCCTAACTATGAGAACCTGTGCTCCGAATCATTAAACTGCATTGTCTCC